TCGATGCACATGTCGCTAACTATGTGGCGCTAAATGCCTATACCTGGAATACTCCCTAAACGCTTTCGGCCCCCGGCACTCCTATCCTAACCCAAGTACCTCCTTATTGGGTCCTTTTGGCCCGGAGGGCCAGGGAGTTCCGTAAAAGAAGGCATGCTCACATAAATCCTGTGCGGTGGAATGCGCATTCTCTGGACACTGTAAGAAGAAACAGGTTCGGCTTGAGGGCTTGGGTTTAGGCTTTAGGGCTGTAGTTGACTCACATGTTGTTCAGTCGAGGTTCGCACACACCCTAAACCCTAAACCTTAGGGAGGAAACCTTTAAAGGCACCCCTCAAAGAAACCCCGGATAGCCACAGCTCTCCGAATCTTTCTCAGTCGTCGCCCTCGGGCTTTTTGAGCACGCTGCTCCTTGCTTTGGGAGGGGGGGGGGGGGGCTTAACCCGAAATTGCTAAATCATAACCCTAAACCCTAAACCCTCAACCCTAAACCCTCAACCCTAAACCCTAACCCTAAACACTAAAGGAACCCTGAAAGACCCTTCGAACAACCTTAACAGGGTGCCTTTCATGAGTCCAAGCAAGTAGTCCTGATTTCTGGTTCTTGGACCTGAAACCGAAGGCCTAAACCGGAAATCCTAATTTCTATTTGGTAGATCTGGCGTACACAAGCCCTAAACCTAAACTATAAACTCTCAAGTCCTAATTTCTGGTGGTTCCGGGACCCTATGCCCGAAAGTCCTAAACCCTAAACCCTAAACCAACTTGGAGACTTCATGCTCGGCCTCATATCCAAAACGAACTGTAATTCTAGGTGGGCTACGCCGTATAAACTCCACTATATCGCAGGAGCCGGTGTAGAAAGTAGCTTGCACTTGTGGGTCTAGGGTTTACTGTTTAGTGGGGTGTTATGAATCCTCCTACCTCATCCGGCTACTTATGTCCGGCTTGCCAGGTCCAAACCCCTGCTGATGAAGTATTTGCTGCAATTGAAACTGAGAATCCCCGGTAGCCCAAAAGCCCAAGCCCTAAAACCTGAACCGCAAACCATGAATGGGGAACCTAAACCGAAGGTTTCAAGCCTCAGGTTTCAAGTTTCCCAGACCCCTGGAAGGGTCCACAAAGTAGATTCTTTTCGGCAAAAACCTATTCCCCTACACCCTAAACCCCGTAGAATACTGTGTATATATATATACGTACATATATATATATATATAGATATGTATATATATATATATAGATGGCCCTTAATGGGCACCGGGGTTCTTATAAAGGACCCTTTAGAAGTACAGTGTCTCAGCTTAGGGGTTTTACGGTGTCGATCCTTCCAAGGCCGGGTTTCGGACTTGTGGCATCAAGCATGTTAGGGCTTGAGTTTATAGGTTTAGGGTTTAGGGNNGTTTAGGGTTCAGGGTTTAGGCGGTTAAGGGTTTAGGATTCAGGCTCCAGGCTTTGTAGTTTTCTGGAAAAAAAGCTTTAGGATGGCAGGCTGTGGGCTGATAATTTCGGGATAAAGCTTCAGTTCCGTCGCTAAGCCTACCTTACTTGTCCTTATCCTAGGGGAACTAAAGCAACTACCCATAGGCTCCATGATAGCTGTTGTTTTGCATTATATTTTAGNNTCCCAAAAAGGAACTACTATGGAGGCCATGGGTGAAGGTTAGCCTTTGGGAATATATAGGGGATATAGTACCCCAAAACCTTAATTACCTACTTTACTGCTAAGCGACATCACTTGTCCAATAGCCTAGGGGCACTGAAGGCTAACCTTGTGTGAACTACCAGTACTAAGGGGAAAAAGCTTGGGCATGTGCATGCACGTAGACACACACACACACACAAACACACACACGCACACAAACACACACACACACACACACGGACAAACATACAGACCCTACTGAGGCTCACCGGCTACGGCTACGAGCTGGCACATAGCTGAATGAGCCAGCCGCTGCCCATCCCAGACGTCATAGAACCACGTATCCAGAATACTATCGTCCCCACTCCCGAAACTATGTCCACTTCCACCTCGACTGTCTCGGCCGAGATCCTCATCATCGCTTTAGCGCCAGAGCACGGAAGGCGACCTAAACCCTAAACCCCAAACCCTAAACCCCTAAACCCCTAAACCCAAAGCCCCTAAACCCCTAAACCCTAAACGCTACTTCTCGGAGGGAAAGCAGTTGGCAATCTCGACGGCTCAGGACCTGAACTGCCCCTGGCAAAACACGCGGCGATGTTTCATGAGCTCGGTTTAGGGCTTAGGCTTTAGGGTCTTAGGGTTTTAGGGCTTTAGGGTTTTAGGGTTTTAGGGTTTAGCGTTTTAGGGTTTAGGTTTTAGGTTTCGGTTCCATGTTTGACTCACTAGCTTATCTGAATCTAGCTATATAACTAGACCCGACATACCCCAAACCCTCAACCCTAGAAGCCCAAGGTCGAGATTTCAAAACATGCATTAGGTCTTAGACCTCAACCTAAACCCTAAACCCTAAACCCTAAACCCTAAACCCTAAACCCTAAACCCTAAACCCTAAACCCTAAACCCTAAACCCTAAACCCTCAAACCCAAACTAGGTTCCCCAGTAGCCCCTGCATAGTAAGGGTACCCTTTCTCCTACTATTTGGTTTCATAAAGGGAACCCCAAAAAGAAAACGGGTTTTAGGGTTTAGGGCTTAGGGTTTAGGGTTAAGGGTTTAGGGCCTAAACCCTAAACCCTGAAATGTTGGCGCCTCCTGACCGACACGCCCGAAGTGCCATCTTTGGCCTGCTCGCAAAGGCTCGGATTCCGGGGATTTTGTGTCCTCAGGGTAATGTAGGGGCCTTAAATAATTAGAATACGGTTTTGGGGTACAATATAGTATATGTATAATGAGGAGCCCCCAAAGTAGTATTGGTAATCATCGAGGCTCCTATATTATTAATTATACAGGAAACAGACCCTCCCTGACCTACAGTTGCAGGGTCAACGTCGGGGGCGCAGGTTGGATTCCCTACCTAAGGGGGAACCATCTCAAACCCTTAGCCCTTAACCTCAAAACGCCGAAAACCCTGAAACCTTGAAGCCCTAAATTAGATAACCCTGAAGCCCTCAACATATCTAAATCCTACAGGGGAGGGCTCCGGGTTCAGCATTTGGACTCTCCTGAAGACGAATGCATCGAGACATAGTGGCTCGGGTCTAGGAGACTCAGGTTTAAGGGCGTTTAGGGTTTAGGGTTTAGGGGCCTAAATAATCACTGTAGAGTAGGGTTTTGCGGCCCATTCTGCTATGCTTATAATCAGGAACCCCCAACATAACAGAATTCGCGTGTAGGCACTACACCAAAGCCCAAGACCCTCACCTACTTGTGCAGTGAAGTGAAGTAAATGTTAACCATATCGGGGTCACGCTCACCCCAAGCCCTAAACCCTAAACCCTAAACCCCTAAACCCTGAACCCTAAACCCAGTTACAGTACTCCAAGAAGCTGAAAGCACGACGTCGGGTCAGGAGCACGGTGGCCAGTGAAAGGCGCCAGACTGACTGTCGTCGAACTTGGACTTCGAAACATGTGGTGGGGAACGAGTTCAGGGTTTATAGGTTAGGATTTGGGGTTTCAGATTTAAGGTTTAGGATTTAGGGTTCAGGATTTAGGGTTTCGGGTTTACCTACTCTACTAGTTGGTCCAAGCCTCAAAGTCGAAATCTTGCGAGAGCCCTGCAGGCTTGAAATAGCATCTCGGAGCCCGAAACTCTAAACACTCTGAAACTCACTGCCCTCCATCCCCTGCTATTTGTAGGGCTTAGAGTTAGGGTTTAGGTACTATCGTGATTCACATATCGTCATGGTGGTACTGGCGGTGTTAATAGAAGAACTCTGAGAAAAGCACCCAAATCCTGAACCTAGACCGTGGACCCTTATCCCACATCCTGCTGAAGCGTCGGGCGCTGTGACAGCTGAACCAGCTCAGGAGGCGGGCGCTCGTTGCCAGACTCGTTGCCATACTTCACTGCTCGGCCCCTGACTATCATGGCCCAGGCGAACCAGAAGCTCACTGGAAACCTCTCAAGGGCGACCAGCGCAAAGCATGCGAGCTCTGCCCTCCCAACGATGAACTGGTAGGGACCGAAGAGGCCCTGCTGCGGGTTGAGAGCTCTGCTGGGCTGTGCCATCTCAGAGTCGATCGTGACGAAGAGGTATCGAAGCTGCGACAGCGTTCAGGGTCCCGGAAGCCTTTGAGAGCCTTACCCTTTTCACCTATGGCCGAAAGCTCATAATGAAGTTATTGCATGTCGTAACCCCCTTGCATTTGTCAACAGAACGCGACAAGCGAATTATGATATAAAGCCCCATATATGATACACTTTCAGGTATAAACCGCAGTTAGCAGTAGAAACCCTAAACCCCAAGAACCTCCAAAACATGATTCTTGGGCTGCCACAGGAACTGCCAAGCCCTAAACCTAAAGCCTGTTTCTAAACCCTAAACCCCGACCCTAAACCCTGTCTAATGCAGGGGCTTTAATAACTAGAATAGGGTTTTGGGGTATATTATTATACTATACTTATAAATTCAGGAAACCCCAAACTAGCATAGGTAATTGTTCATGCCCTATTTTAAACCCTCAACCCAAAACCCTAAATCCTAAACCCTAAACCCCTAAACCCTTAAATCCTAAACCCTAAATCCCAACCCCAAACTCCGTCTAAACCCTGAACCCTCAACTTTTAGTGGCCCCCAAACCCTGCCTAGATTAGGGTTTGGGGTTTAGGGTTTAGGGTTCAGAGGCTTCTAAACTCCAACAGCTCCTCACTCCAAGCTAAGCCCCACCTAGTGCCCCGTTTCGAAGCTCTGAAGCCCTTAACCCGAAAGCCTCGCACTTCAAGGTTCTGGGTAGGGTTTAGGGGTTTAGGGTTTGGGGTTTGGGGTTGACCCTAAACCCTAAACCCCTAAACCCTAAACCCTAAACCCTAAACCCTAAACCCTAAACCCTAAACCGACTCCTAGAGCTCCAGACCTCCTCCATCTGCACCATCGTGGCGAAGCGCGGGCTCAAAGAACCGAAACCTTTCTAAAAGGATGAGAAGGTCTGGTGAGAATTTCATAGGGTGTACCTATAGTCTCCATTGTAGTTCTTTTTTTTGGTTTAACCAGTCTTATATTAATGATCCTAAACGGTAACCCCAGACAGGAACTACAATGGAGACTATAGGTAGGGTTCAGGGTTTCAGCAACAGGGGGCTGAGGAGGTTTCGGGGCTTAGAGGTTTCTGACCCTACCCTATGGCTCTTGTTGCCGTTATGGGCTTTCTAGGGGAAGGTTTGGGCTTTGGGGGCTGAGGTTTTGGCTTTCACTATGGGGGTCCCTGAGCCTTAGGGTAAACCCTAAACCTTATAAACTCGAAGCCCTAACCGGTTATCAAAGAATCAGCGGATTTAGCAAGGTTTATAGGGTTCAGTGTTTAGGTTGTATGGGATTAGGGTTTAAGGATCAGAGGACGTCATGGGTCCTTTTCAAGGCTCTTATAAGGATTCTGTGATTGTCGCCGGGTGTTGGAATGATCAGGGGACTTACCCTTAAGGGTCCCTAGAAACGCCTAAGGGTCCATATTGGGGGCCCATACTTCTAACCTTAGCCTAACCCCTAAACCCTAAACC